GGCGAGAGAAAATTCCAGATTTTGGTTACCACGATGCTATAGTGCCCCAAAACCTCTGCCGGGGCCCGGCGAGAGGCCATTCCAGACTTTAGCCACCCCGATCCTATACTGCCCCAAGGCGTGTGCCGGGGCATGGCGAGAAGAAATTCTAGATTTTGGTTACCACAATGCTATACTGCCCCAAAGCCTCTGCCGCAGCCCGGCGAGAGGAAATTCTAGATTTTGGTTGCCACGATGCTATAGTGCCCCAAAACCTCTGCCGGGGCCCGGCGAGAGGCCATTCTAGACTTTAGGTTTAGCCACCCCGATGCTATACTGCCCAAAAGCCTGTTGTGCCGGAGCATGGCGAGAAAAAATTCTAGATTTAGATTTTGGTTACCACGATGCTAGACTGCCCCAAAGCCTCTGCCGCAGCCCAGCGAGAAGAAATTCTAGATTTTGATTACCACGATGCTATAGTGCCCGAAAACCTCTGCTGGGGCCCGTCGAGAGCCAATTCCAAATTTTGGCCAACCCGATGCTACACTGCCCCAAAGCTTGTGCCGGGGCATGGCGAGAAGAAATTCTAGATTTTGGTTACCACGATGCTATACTGCCCCAAAGCCTCTGCCGCAGCCCGGCGAGAGGAAATTCCAGATTTTGGTTTACCACGATGCTGTACTGCCCCAAAGCCTCTGCCGCGGCCCGGCGAGAGGCAATTCCAGATTTTGGTTACCACGATGCTATACTGCCCCAAAACCTGTACCGGGACCAGCGAGAGGCAATTCCAAGTTTTGGGCACCACGATGCTATACTGAGAACGAAGCCGGCGTCTTTTGTTCAGCGTTGGAGCTGCAATCTAGTTGCCGACCACGACCACCACTACCGACTCCTTTTGTTTTCGAACAAGAGGTGTGAAAATGTAAATGACTGCTAAGCCACGACAAAGTAGATACCGGACAACGACAATCGATGAAGGAGGAGAACGATCGGTGCTTAGGCTGAAAACCTACATTTTCCCCGGCTACACGATATTAACGCAGGCGATTTGCCACCGCCACGACAACGAAGACATGGGGGGAACACCAATATCTGTGCGATGCCCACGGAACAACCACGCGGGTGAACAAGAATTCTGTAGCGTGACCAGGTGGCACCAAATTTTGGAGCTGCAGCACAACGGCTCTATAAAGTGTAATTGTCGCTGAGGATGAATCTCTATTTCACCTGATTCGGTACTATAGGAAACGCTGTCTGAGCAGAAAACAACATTCCGGCGTCGCGATTCAAATGTTGGGGGGGTCCCCAAATCGAGCTCAAATGATTAGGGGCCAGTATTATGCACTACCACGCTTGTGCGAGGCGCAGCAGCAAGAGAAATTTCGCTAGGGTCTTTGTCTTTGTGTGCTTCGTCATTCCAACGACCGCAACCTGAGAAGCACAATGGTCCCACGTTTTTTTCCGGGTAGTCGGGCTAAAACCGAGGCTCGGCCATTCTCCGGCAAGAGGTAATGCCAAGTGATCTCCTCTAGCACCCAGTTTTGGCCATAGACTGCTCGTCTTACGGCAGCGTCGTGAACCTTCCAATCCCAATGCTTGAGCCCCTGATTGTCCCCGCACAGACGGTCCATTGTGAGTCCCAACAAACTTTCGCTTTCTTCAAGGTACATCGGATAGAATTCCGGGGCCGTCGGGGGCGGGTAAAACGCGACGTCTTTGGCATAAGCTGCACCGCTAGTACCGGCTGCTGCTTGTCCGGAACAAGTTGTATCACGAAAACTTCTTTTGCCCGTGTAGCGATCCTCGCACAAAACAAGCCGGATCAGTGACGTGACAAAAACGGCGATGGCGGCCCGATTGGTTTCGCCTGGCCGAAATTGTACTGTGAACAGAAACTCCATGTCCACCAGTCGCGTTCTTTGCAGGCAAGCTTGTAAAGAAGCACCTTTCGTCGTTCGTGTCGTCTCCACCGCTGTTCTTGACGAGTCGTCCGCAGCTTTCCTGAAGGTCCTCTCTTGTGTTCCCTGCAGTTCGGCTTCGGGATCATGTTCCTGTCTATCCCAAGAAGTAAAACGGTTACGGTGGAACCATTCCGCCAATTTGGTCACAACGGAAAGCAGGTTCGGAACCTCCTGCTCCGCGTAGACCAGGTCACTTGCGATGACCCGAAGGTTCACCTGCTTCACAGGCTCTATTCCTTGGTAGGTGCTCTCAAGAACATCGCCGGTCGCAGTACTGGCACTGCACTTGTTCTGCGCACCACCAGTCTCGTTTGCGTCGCAGGAGGTCATGCTCCGAAGCAGGCAATCCGCGATTTTGTCATCGTTGATCTCCCGCCAATCCAGCGGCATGCATTCCACCGTCACTTCTCGCCCTACTTGCTGTCCAGAAATAAAGTCGTGGTTCCTTTTCACATTCTCCCGCGTCACCGTTTCGAGTACGAGTGGAAGGTCGGTGAGAACTATGTGGTCCGCGAGTCCCATTTTGGCGGCCGCAAGCCCGCAAACACCAGTTCCTGTACCCAAATCAAGCAGCACCGTTCTAGATGTTGCACAACTTCTTGTTGGCGCTCCTGCTACGGCGTTTTTATTACACGCACTGCTGCTGGTCTCAAATGGCGGTCCAGCACTGGCTGAATAATCAAGAAAGGGCGACGTTTCCCACACCGGTTCATATAAAAGTAGGCGGTGCAAGCAGTTTACCAGAAGCATCCCGGCCTCCCAAACCTGTGCGTTGGAAGACACCTGTCCGGTGTCGTACTCGTCCGCTGACCAATACTCTTCTTGCAACAGCAACCGCTCCCCGTTGGGCAGTGGGACACGCTCGATCCACGCAGACGTCGTCGTGTCAACATCAGCCGGATCTTCGCTAGTACTTGCGGCCGTGGACGGAGACTCGTTAACTGGGAGGTCCTCCACTTCTCCTAATCCTCGGGCTGCTGTTTGCTCCGTACCTTGCAGCGCAGCAGGAGATGATGCCATGGTCGTTTCTTCGGCAAAAACAAACACAAAGAAAAACTTCTGCTGTTGAAATATTATTATTATCCCGTGCAAACAACTTACTACTCACAAATAGGAAAACACAGAGCTATTACCAACGGAAGGAACTGCTCAACAAGCACAGAATCATGTTCGGCGGACAGAACTCAAACCTACACGCCCTGGTGTTCTTTACTTGGTGCAACCAGATGAACCACACTCAAAATATAACCAAACCAGCATAAGTGTCAATTGCATCACGACACCACTGCTTGGGGTAGTTGTTCTTCTTGTTGTGCAGCCTTACAACACATTTCAGAACCAAAATCCATCGTCTTCAACAGAGGACTTGATCAGTCGTGGATGGATGATCAAGATGAATTTGGAACGTATTTTTTGCGTAGCCGCGCTAGACACCTGCTGTAGTACCTCTTACTGGTGATCTTCGCTCGGTATCAAGATCAAACAGAATTTTTGGACGTTTCGAGAGATCTCTGCTTCACACATTCATGAAGCTTTGATCATCCTCTCCAGTTTTCACAAATCCACGCCGATGTCGATCTGACACGACACCACCAAATACAACAACCACGTGTCGAAATAGTAAAGTATGTATGTGATCGGTACTAGATGTAGATATTACCACACTAAACTCTGATCCTGGCCCGACTGAGGCAGCTCAGGTGACCGCGAGGAGGTGCAGGTGGCAAGGGCAAGGCGACCGATAATTACAAGAAGACAACGTGTTGCTGTTCAACAGCCCACTCTTGGAGTTGAAAGGAACGGCGGGCGAAAAGTTAAAGTAGGAAACGAAGTCGCGGAAAATTTTGCGGCCGGCGCGGCCAGCACGTTGCTTCTGTGTTTATTTTTTTCGTCTGCGCGTCACACATCATCAAAATAAAAATTACAGCTACTTAAACATAAGACGCAGGTGAAGTGTCATGTTCTTGCTTAGGAGGTATTTTTGCAGGAATGTTTTGTCGCTGAAGGTGAAACGTCAAGTTAACGTCAACCGTGCCGGGGTGTAATTCAATTTGTGAAGCATTTTTGACGAATTTGTGAAGAAGAGCCATTTTGAAAATGGGCTGCCTACACGTAGCAACCTCCCGAGCTTTTTCCCCATGCTTCCCGACAACCAAAACAGGGGCGCGATGGCACACAAAGCGCGCGCAGCTTCTCGGTGTGCAGATATTTCTTCGTTTCCCGCGTCGCGCTTTGTTAGGGTGGTGGCACGCGACAAAAACGCGACAGGCGCCAAAGACGGCACTGCCAACGGCAAGCAGGATGTAGCTTGCACATAAGCCTTGGATGGGCGGCCGGCTAACAAAAACGATGGCCCCCGGTGGTAAAGAGTGAGCTCATCCACACTTCCCACAAAAAGAGAGGGACTTGCAGTCCTGTGGATGCAACTACAGAAACACTCGTGGCGGCCCGAAGGGCCGCGCACCCCGGAGCCTTTGCGCGAAGTGGTCGCCAGAAGCCGAAAAGAGACGAGCGAGGCAGCGTCAATTGGCTGCAGGTGAATCTTGAGGACGCCGAAACGTGAAGCGAGATCCCGACAGGTCAAAAAAAAGTCAGGAAATTCTTGAAGAACGTCAAAAAGCAGTCAAATGCAAGTCAAAATTGACCGTAGCATTAGGGGACGCAAAACTTGACTTGTTTTTGACTCTCTTCAAGAATTCCCTGATTGCCTTCACAAATTGCTTGATTGCCTTCACAAATTGCTTGATTGCCTTCACAAATTGCTTGATTGCTGTCAAAATATCTTGACTGCCGTCAAAGTATTTTGACCGCGTTCAAAAGTGGCTGGCTGCCTTCAACAGCCGTCGATCTTGCTCAAAAACTGCCGACTGGCTGCACGGGCTGGCGAATTGCGCGAAGGCGTGTTCGCTGCACGTTCGCTACTATTGGCGAGGGGCTCAGGATCGCCTGCCATCAAAGTGGCCTGCTTTCAGAAGCTGGCTCAAGCGCAGAACGAGGCAGCGTAATTTTGCATCGCAGGTCTGTCGCCGACGACGCGCAAATCTGCGCACGCGATGCATCACACAGCCGCATCAGGCTACACGCAGAGTAGCGTCGTAGCTCTGACTGCAATGCGGCACCCGGCGCACCTCGAGCACCCTCTACAGTGGGCGTAGCTGCTCTGTTTTTCAAAAAGTGCTTTCTTCAAAAATGCTTCAAGAATTAGTCAAAAAAGCTCTTTTTGCAGGGATGTTTTGTCGCTGAAAGTGAAACGTCAAGCTGGCTCTTCTGTAACATTATACACGGGTTGTAGTTCGTTATTTTCTCCCTTGTTCACATGATGAGGTCGACAGGCTTCGACTGTTTTGGTTTTCTTTTTTCAACATCTACATCTTCATCATTTTCATTTTGCCTTGGTCTCATAAGCAGCACGTCGCTCTGACTCTGTTTCTGTTTCATGTTGAGCATCATTTTTAAAGAGTAAACTGCGGGTCGTCGCTCCTCTGCCGATGTTCTTTTCTTGCGCGCGTCCGACGAGTTGTTGGTGCTATTTCCGCTTCTGTGCAGAAACGTAATTTTGCGCACGGTTTAGTCCTGCTCCAGCTGCTGCGTTGGATTTTTCACGGTTGTTCGTTCTCCACGTCTGTTGGCTCCTCCTGGATTTGTTCCAGAGTGGGCTGCTTTTTCATACAGAACCTGCCAATAGCGGGGTCGGCGAAATGGTGATGCTGCAGTGGTGCTACCTTGTTTATTTGGGACGGTGCTGTGTAGACATGATTTTGGCCAGTTCCTGCGGTTTCGACATGATTCGTCGCGCTTTTATTTACTAGGTGCGGATGCGGCGATAGTACGTGATCATGTGCGCCAACGACATGTCCGACAGTAGAACAAGAGGGTTTACTGTTATCACTCTCGCTCCTGTTCGTCCTTCCTCGTTGCAAGTAAAACTCGTTGTGCCAGTAGTCCAATAGCGGATGTTGATGAGCTGCACCAGCTGCATCCTTCACGACCCGGGCCGGCGGTGGAGCATTGCTATTGTAGCCAAGAAAGGCGTGGTGGTCGTTTAACACGATTGGCGGACCCATGTCGAGTGGATAAAAATCATGCTGCGACGCTCCTGACGCGGCATTTTTGTGAAGAAGTTCTTGTGTCTGCTTGTGCTTATTATCGTGGTCCACGGCTTCAACATTTGGTGCAGCTCCTTGCGTCGCAGAGAACATCGTGCTTTGCTGCAACGGCGGAAGCAGATGATTTTCTTGCCAGTGGTCTTCTCCCTCGTCGGAGTAGACACAATTCCAGCCTTCTTCCCGCGGGGCGGTCGCCACTACGCCCGAGGCTGAGGTGCAGGTTAGCAAGACGGGCACTGACGCTGAGGGCGAAGGGGTCGTTTGTCGTCCAGCAGACGAGCTACAATCGGAGGCAGTGGTGCTTAGTAGCGGAGGATTTATTTCAGGCTGATCAACAAAGACAAACGCAGTCGCAGACATGATCCCGTCATTTGCATTAGGAGTTGCTGCACCCGCCGGGCACAATAGTTGTGACGCGTCTTCGTCTTTATTTTCCGATACTAACAGGGGCGTGGTGGCCGCAGTCGGGCCCGAAAACTCAACTTTCGTGTCGGTATCGTCTGGAAGAAGGTTTTGTGATGCAACCACGGCACCAGGGCAAAATTCTGTACCGACGGCGGTCGGTGCTGCAGCCGGGTTTAGCTCGGCCGCGCTCCTGTTGTTTCCGACCTGGATGATCTTGATGCTATCATCTGCCAGATGACTAGCAAATGTAGGTGAGGAACTATAACCGCAGCTGCTTCGCTCGCTCCTCTTCCCGTCCTCATAACTGCTCTTTCCATACTCTCCTGCAACATCTGGGCGCGGCGGCGTCAACGACCAGGCGGCCCGGTCTGCGGCTTTTGCGGCGGCCGCCTCTTTTCGCTTCCGTACCCACGAGCAGCGGAGATAGACCACCGCGGCAATGTTTCCCAGAGCCAGAACCGCGGTCACGCAAATCAGGACCCACAGCAAGTTGCCCCAAAAGGCGGCGGCGGTGTCGAAGTTTTCTGCGTCGCGGTCGCGCTTGTGCTGCTTGCGCCGCAAATCCGCCACGTCCAGGTAGTGGGAACGGAGAATGTTCTGAAAGAAGGACCGGAAATCCGTTTTCGTGGCCACACCACCTCCCGCCCTGAGCATCCCGTCGCGCGTCGCGTAGCGGAAATGCCGGAAGCAATCGTGGAAAACCCGGTGTTTGCCCACGTACTTCAGCAGTTTTGGAACGTCCGGATCGTCCCGCAATCGCTGCCGCAAGGCCAGCAGCGGCGGCGCCGCGGTTACCTCCCGCAGGAAAACGTGCAACAGCTTCACCACCGCCAGTATGTACCGCGCAGGTCCGAAGGGCGGAGGGGGGGCCGGAGGGGGAGCACCAGAACTAGTACCCGAAGATGGTGCAGCACTACTCTGGTTGAAGTTCTTTTTCACGTTGTGGGTCAGCCAGGGTGCGAGCTTCTTCAGCTGCCGGTGCGCCCACCCAGCAACGTCGCCGAACGCGAACTGCGGGGGCAGTAGTTGCTGCCCACCCGGCATCTGTAAACCGAACAAAAAGAACCAGAAGGCCCGCTGCCACTTTGGCGGTTGCAGGAATTGCGGTGGGTGTTTGGCCAGAACGTCGAGAAATTCTTCTAACGTTGGCGGCTGTACGACCGAGGCGGGTGGACCGCTCGATGGTCCTCCGGAAGAATTGTTTATTCCTGCTTGTTGCGCCGGTTGTGCAACTACTTGCTCAGAAGCCGATACTATGCGACCGAGGCGCACTGCAAATTCACTACGAGTGGCCAGTGCATCGACGGTGCTGGCGTACTCCTGAAAACTAGCCTCTTCCTCTTCGGAAAGAGAAACTTCTGAGGAATCTTCTTCATCATCCGTCATTAACCAGTCCTGTGCGAGATTCTCCTCCGCAAGCCGCGCCGCTGAGAGTTCGTCTTCAATAGCCGCTAAGTTCAAGGCCAGGAAATACCGCTGCTTTTGGATGCCACGAGGGTCGCCTTGCGACGTCGCCGGAGGTGGCCGACCCTCGTGCAGCGAATCCATCCACTGCTCGATACTCCGCGTCCCTTGCGCTAATCCGTCAACGTGCACGCTGGTGTTCGTTTTCAGCGTTTTTACGTGGTGAAGCCAGAACTCGCGGCAGCTAAGGAGGAACCCCTCGTCCTTCCCCAAATACCGGTGGAACACTCTGTATCCAAGGAAAAACTTCTTACTGAGCCCAGACAACAACCCTAGGACTAGGTAATTCACATGTACTAATCTGTATGTATCCGATGAATTATTTGCAAGGCTAGGTCGCACAAAAGCGGTATTGCAAAGCTTCGAGCACGTAGCAGACCTGACGATCTAAGTGTAAGTGCCAGTAGACTCAGAAGCAATGCCGGAGCACCACAGAATGAAATCAATTGGGTCTCCACGTCTGTAAAAAATAAGTACATTCGTTTATTGTCGTTCTACTCATGCATACTTACTATACAACTGCAGCCCGCGTGAGCTCCAAAGTCCGGTAAACTAACACACAGGGGCGAAGATGGACCCGCAGGAAGATTTTGCATTTGCTACTCGCCGCAACCGCCCAAGAAAGAGGATTCGCTCCAGCACCTCCCAAGGAAGAAGCAACCGTATGCGTTTGGGTACCTTTTCCTTGAAGTCCTCCAGGGTGGGTTCTTCTTCGTGGTCGTCCAAAAGAGGTCCCAAAGCGTCTCGAAGGACCGCTCGGAGTGGCAGGCCGTTCTCATCTTTTCCGTCCGCGAAAAAGTTCGCTGGCAGGAAGTGCCACAGCGAGGGCTCTGCTTCAGATGAGTCTTCGTCACCAGCAGCATCGACCATATTAGCGGTCCTTGCCCCCACATTTTCCGGCGACCCATCTGCGGCACCGGCCACGAAAGAACGGTCTTCCTCGATAAACCATGAATCGATCTCTTGCAGCCGCTCGGCTGCCGATCGACGTGGCGACAGGAAATGGCTTCCCACACGCTCGACGAATTTGGCCCAGACACCTTGTCCGTCTTCCCACGAAAGATCTGCCACGTGCAACGGCCACCGGTTCAGCGTGTTCTCCCATGGCACGGAACTTCGTAGTCTCACGTTCTCAAAATACTTTTCGAGCATGCCGTCCGGGGGCCCAAACTGATCGAGGTACGTGGCAAGATGATCGGACGTCGTTGTGCCGGGGTCGGGGGCCTGCGGCTGCGCTGTTTGGAGGTCATCATCGCCGGGGAATTGCGTGGTTCCGGTGGTCCTCGCCTCTGCGAAAAGAACTGTTGCGCGAGCGCGACATAGTGGTCGGTCACCAAAAATAAATGCGCTGGACCGCAAAGCTATAAGGCAACATTGTTGCAAAAAATGTAATTTGAGAAACAGGGTCTTCATCTAGGGGAGGTGGTCCAACAGTGAACAAAGTTGGGAGCAGGCGAGAGGTTATCTCATTCATAAGGTCGTGAACAGAACTTTCGACACTCAGAGTTGTACTTGTACATGGTTGTGCGCATTCAATAGTCCACTCAAATTTTTAGTACGATGTCTTCTCTCGGTAGACTGTTTCGAAAAGGAAAGCCGATCATGTGTTGGAAAACATAAACAAAAATCATAAAAGTTACACTATGCTAGGCTCAGTCAGAGATCGGGGTGTCGGCAAAAGTTCCTAGGGAGGTTTGCAATCCATCGGATTGCTTTGATCAGGAAAAAAATGACTCATCTGGAGTGAAAACGTACAATTTTGGTTCACGGTTGCCTTGTAGTTTGATCGGACCTTGAGGCAGTGACAGTGTTCAGCACGAATCGATTGCTGGGCGCCCGCGCCCCCTGTCGATCATGGGTCGTGTAAGCGATCCTGTTGATGTTGTTTTCCAGCTACTCGTGGCAGTTCGTTGCAGATGCAAGAGCCTGAGCTCGTGCATCGAGTCAGAATTTTTGCAGATGAATTTCTTCACACAACTGAACGCGTTTATCTTGCAGCACGACTGCTCGTAACTCCTGCGCAAAGGATATTACTACAGATTCATGATCTACATATTTATGCTAGTAAAAAATCATATCAAAAATTTCAAAAGGACAGCGTGGTGGTGTTCAGGAGGTTTTCGAAGTAGCGGTAAAAGAAATTCCCGGTGGCCATGCCAACTCCGACGCGCAGGGTGCCCCATCCGATTCGCAACTTCATTCCCACGTTTCGCCACCCGGTATGGAAGCGTCAGGATTGAAATCGTCAGAGTTGAAATAATTTCTCATGCATAGATTGCAAGGCATGAAATGCCTCTCTTGCAGGGATGGCAAATGGCGCCGACTGTCAGCCTGTTTGGGGTCTGCAATGCAGCTACTAAAGTAGCATGACAAAGGACGCCTTCTGTCCCTAAGCAGCATGACAAACAGGATTTAGACGGTGCCGAAATTTGATATGCGCCGCTCGGCAATTGGGCTTCCAACACAACTGGTATCGATTTTATGCATTACAAGTTATTTCAACATTGTCGTTTTCAATCCTGACACTCCCATACCCGGCCAGACCCCCGTACACCAGATCGCGGTGGAGCTCTCGCAAGACGCGCCGCACCGTCGGATAGTCCTCCAGCACCCGTCCGCGCTGAAATTTCGTGCTGTTTTCGTTCGTCGCGGAGGCGGGCCTGCTTTGACTACTAGTGGATGATTCGGATCGCATCGGCCGTTCCGTCTCCGAGCTACTCCACCCGCTACGATAGGCGTACTGCAGGTTGCGGGCGTAGTTCAGGGGACCGGACAGCACCGTTGCCAGAGACGCGGCGAAAAAGTTCACAAGGTACTGACGTTCCTCGTCCTGGAGCAACACTCGCAGGGAGGTGAAAACACTCCCAAACACGGAATCCCGGCAGATCGTAGCTCCCAGACCGCGCGTTACTGTTTCGGTTTTTATTGTTTAATTTTTCTTTCTTTTGCATGCACGTACCTCTAATGATCTTCTCGCATTTCGATTTTTTCTATGTTTGATAGCAACAAAACCAAAATTCACTAGTTACACTTTCACGAGAACATCATTCACGACAAAAGCATAGTCGTGAACAAATAACATTTTGCTTACGGCGGCCTTCTTTGTGGAAGATTTTGCGCACATCGTGGATGAGCGGCTTGTGTGTGTCCCGCTGGTACTGGCGGTATTTCACCAAGCTCAGGTAGTTTGTCGCCAGCCCGCTACTGGCGCCAGTGAGCTGCCCCGCGAGCGGAGCCACGTACAGGATCTCCTGCTTACCCGGGAAAAAACTACCCACATCACGATTATCTGCAGTAGAACAAGTAGATGCACCGCCATCAGTACTCATACGGCTACTTCCAGCGGACGAGGAGGAAGAACTGGCAGCCGGATCTTCACCGACATTAACAAAAGCGCCGCCAGTAGTTGTCCTGCTGCGAAAGCAGTTCAGCAGTACCCGGGTCCACATTTGTTCGAGCGGAAAATACATGCCGTAGCTGATGACGCGCTGCAGCAAGTTCGGCAGCAGACCCTTGTTCAAATCCGAGAAGCTGCGGCCCCAGTTCTCGCGGTGCAGAAACTTTCTCTGGTGAATCACACTCAAATACAGGGCACGGTATCAAATGCAAAAATGTCTGGGTCTGGAAGATTCTGAGATTTGTCATGCAGTTTTTCAAGCTCCGCCGAGTCTCGAATGCAGGGCCTAGCATCACAGGTTCTGCAGCGGCAGCCCCTTGGTCTTGGACTTGGTGATGCCTATTCTGCATGAGAAATGCCCCCTCGGCGTGGCTAGAAATGGGGACCTTTTGCAAGTCATGCAACACAGATTTTTGTATGATCCGCAACACGCATCACAAGTTCGCATCCTTCCAGGCCCAGACACTTTTGCATTTGATACACGGTCATAGGGGTTGAAAAGCACCACTTGCACCACGCCAGAGCAGATTCCGGCCATCACTTCGGTGCGCCAACTGCTCTCGAAACTGGGCTCCAGAACCTGTAATTCGAAGATGAGTGATGAAAGATTCTTCCTATTTGTATAAGCGCCGGTCCTGTGACAACGAAGCCTGGCACATTATAGTAAGTACTTGTCCATCTACTTGAAGATTCAAACATTACCAAGCTGGGCGCTCGTGACAGGGCCTCCGTCAGAGTTTGTGTCTCGACCTCCGCTTCCTCACTCGCGGACGCGAAGCGCGCCAGGGAGCGCTTCCGTACAAACTCGCTGTGCAGAAAAGACTTCGCCTGGTGTTCCCCAGTTTTCCGCGACTCGACCCAACTCGGGACAAGACGCTGGCCGGCCGGCTCGCGGTGATAAAAATTGTTGGCGTCGCGAGTGGAAAATGGAGTCGTGGCACCATATTCGTGTATTTCATCTCGCTGGCTGCGAAAAGAACGGAACTCGGGGCGCTCTTCCCCAACTGTGGGAGTGTTGGGAAGCGAACGGAACGCCGCGCTCGTCCCTGTGCTTCGTGCGGTACTCGGAGAACCCTCGGGTTCCAAATCCGAGACGGCAGACGCCTTGCTAATGCTCCGGGTCGCCTGATGGTCTTGCTCGCCGTCGCCACCATCGCAACGCACGATTGGAAGTGGACGTCTGCTCCCCCATAACATGCGAGTGTTAATCCTGTTCGTGCTCGCCCGTGCTCGCTACAACTCATGGCAGAAGTAAACGCTGCTGCACCGTCGCCCGTCGTGGTCCTCTCAACAGAAAGTTCTTCATCACACTCCTCTTGCCATCTTCATCTTGTTGTGGCTGACACGAGAAACTGCCTGAGAGCTCGGCTGTAGTAATATATCGCTTTTACCTTTCCACCTATATCTGCGTCGCAATCTTCACGTCTTCGAATAAGAGTAACGATGAGCGTATGCTCTACAACCAACTTGTTGGAATTATCCTGTTGTAGTGTTTCTTCGGAAATGCTGCTCACCAACGCAAGCTTGTTCCTACGTATTCAACAAGCGTCGCTTCGATTGCTCGGAAAAGGAGCTCCACAGACTCACTGCGCTCTTGTTCGTCGTGCCGCTGCCGCGGCGCCTTGGAAGCTACTGCAAGGCTCTACTGTGCAGCATGTTAGGTGGTTGCATTCTCGCGTGTCACGGCGACAGCTCTCGTCAAAGATTGAGATTAAGATTTCTCCCGCGTGCATGAAGATCTAGTCCTGTTGTATGCCTTCGCTCGTGATCTGATGCTCGTGTTCATGTTGAATTCAAATGCCTTACGCTGCGCTCAGGTCAAGGTCTCGACGTCGGACAATGAAAAGCGACATCAGCCACACCGCCCCTGCTCAGTACCAAAACACACAACAAGTTGCAGCGGCTTCCTTTGCTTTGCACGTTAGGTAAGTGCATACAGCTTAACTCAACACAACATCAACGCAGCATTTGAAGAATAGTCCGATGCATCCTAGTGGCGTATTCTTATCGGTTTTTTGTTTGTGTACATGAAGAAATACAGAAATATTTATTAACAGGGCAAAACAAGTTAACAAGTCCAAATGATCTACAAGAACTGAAAATGTTGAGTTTACCTTATTTATTGTACAGCCACCATCGGGCGCGCAAAATAATTTACATGTGAAAGTTGTCACGAAACAAGAAAACTATGTACATGGTCAAATTGAATTCGAACAAAGAAAAGCTACATCAAGACGATACTGAGGGTTCTTTTCTTTCGATAATGTTGAGATTTGTTAGTTACCTGCTTAGAAGTATATGGTCCGATTGTAATAATTTCCGAATTAGCATAATATCAGATGAAATTTGTAGTCACCGCTTTCGTGCCTTCATCCATCAACAACACAATAAATTCTGAGGCCAAGAATAAATCAACTGTCTTTTTGTTTCCGCGTTCTTCTCCGTCGTTTGCGCGGCTATGTGCCACGTTTACCAAACGTCCGGAGCAGCTTGATCTTCTTCACTCGCCGGGAGTGATGGTGCGGTTCATCGAGGGTGCGATGCTGGTCATGGACTTCATTTATCAAATGTAAAAATGTCTGGGTCTGGAAGATTGGAACTTGTGATGCTAACTTTGGACTCTAGGAAAATCTGTATTGCATGACCAGCAAGAGGAGTCTAGTTTGTGCTACGCGGGGAGGGCGTTTGTCATGCGGAGTAGGCATCAGGAAGCCCGCTCAAAATCTGTGATGCGCGGTCGTGCATTACAGACATCCTGGGTCATGCAAAACATGCATGACAAATCTCAGAATCTTCCAGACCCAGACATTTTTACATTTGGTATCATTTTCAGCGAGCTGATTTTCCCGAACTGGGTGACCGGGGAGAGGTATCAAAAGTAAAAATGTCTGGGTCTGGAAACTTGTGACGCTGGGTGGCGTCTCATGATGAGGCTACAAATGCTGGCGCAGCATGACAAGTTTCTGAGCTCCTAGCCCTAGGTGTTGCCTATTCTGCATGACAAACACAAACTGCGGTTGTGCATCACAGAAAAACGAAGCTCTTGGCGGGTAACTTGCATGACAGATTTAAGAGTCATGCCAGACAAGCATGACAAACATGAAATCTTCCAGACCCAGACATTTTTGCAGTTGATAAGAGGTTGCGGACCGTGAACCCGTCCAGCGGGCTGGTGGTCTTTGCGCACGAAGCCACGGGGAAGTAGCTGGCCGGGCCCGCGGTGGTTTGCTCGGGGTTCAGGACGGGTCGCTCGCCCTTTCCGAGTCCACTGGCGCGCGCAACTTTCGTGTAGTCCTCCGTCAACTTTACGTGCGAGTAGTAAAGTTCGCCGTCGGGAGATTGGGAAGAGTGTGGGTCTGTAATTGATAGGGGATCATTATCATACATGCAGCGGAGGATAAAATTTATATATCGCTTTTCGTTTTCAACTGCACGAGCTCCGTTCATCATCATGCAGACAATACTCGTGTCGCGAGCGAACGCTAGAAAAAAGAGGGGCGCGCTTTGATTTTTCATCAGACGCCACAAAACAAAAACAGAAACAATTGCAACATGATGCACTACAACAAACAAAAAAACAGATACTTCCGAGTTTTGCGAAGCCGAAAGTAGACTTTCCCGCCCAATTGTTGACGTTCTTGGTGCCCATGTCTTCTGCTACATTGTACAAAGCATCTCCAGCAAGGTCGATTACTTCCTTCAAAGCCATGCCCATTTTTGGCCTGTAGGATTTCACATTGGATTGAAAAGCACGAAAAAAGTCGGAGATGAAACAGGACTACATTCGTGGTAGCTCGAAAATGAAATCGAAGTATTTTTTTAAACGAGGGACTACGCTCATGAAGAATTTTAGCACGGGCACGCATGATATCATCAAATTAGATGCAATTATACGCTGGTGGTCCGACCCAGTTCTTCTTGTCGCCGCGTGTCACGTACAAACCATTGATGTCGGAGTGTAGTGTGTACGTGCCCGGACCGGGCTTCCGTGCCTCCTCGTGTGGACTTACCGCTCCAACTACCACCTTCGTTCGCTGCTTCAGAGTTACATTGCAGTACCTGAATTTATACATTAATTTTGTTTTTGCATTGTCGTTCAGTACGATATGCATACAGCAGCATATCAACACAGTATAGAGAAATAAGAGATACAGCACTGAAGAGCACGTCCCAACATTTTTGCAGCTTACTGCACACGACGAGGACCAAGATCTCATATAGGAAAACCGAGACCGACCACCATCAAGCACAATTTCATTACTTTTTTCCGTCCAAACTGGATGCGGTCTTCGCGACTGAGGTGATGGGTGTGTAGGTGCCTGGTCCCAGGTTTGGCGTGCCGCGGACGTACGTGGGTCGGCTGCCGTAGCCGAAGCCGGCCTTCTTGCCACTGCAGGACCCAATCTGTGATTCCAGCGGATCCTTGAAGAAGCGGTTGTGCTCGAGGAAAGCCTTTCCCCAGGGTGAGTCCGCGCCGGTGGGGGACATTAGTCGCTTCGCCGCAAACCGCGGATTCTTCCCGAAAGTGCCCGAGTCCGCGCGCATACCGCTGTTCCGGGAGACGACCTGGTGCAGTATCAAATGTAAAAGTGTCTGGGTCTGGAAGAATGCAACTTGTGATGCTGCATTTGGATTCCAAAAAAATCTGTATTGCATGAGTACCAAAGGAAATGCAATTTTTGCTACGCTGAGAAGGCATTTGTCATGCGGAATACGCATCAAGACGCCCTCAAAAAATCTGTATTGCTAGGGTATGCATCTTCACAGACATCATGGCTCATGCAAAACGTGCATGACAAGTGTCAGAATCTTCCAGACCCAGACATTTTTACAGTTGATATGCAGATTGTCCGACTTACTCACGTACATCGACCGGTGCGGCCGCCGCGTGCTGCCCATGCTCATCTGCGACTGCTGGAGCGCCATTTTTGTTGCTGAAGAACTTACTACAGAGGAGGTGTGACTTCAAACAAAAAGAAGTAGTGATCCGATGAAGATAAGACGGTCTCGCTTTCGTCAAGAAAGGAGCCTATTTCGACGATGTTGATCTGCTTCTGCGCCAGTTGTTGATACCAAAAAAAGAAAACCGCTCTACTAGAGCCTGAGTGCTGGTGTCAACAAGGATTGTTTGTGTCACGACTTCCCGAAGTGGGATGCGAGAAAAGGAGTCTGGATGTGGTGATATTACCTGGTGCGAAAAAAGTGTTGGAGATCGTGAAAATGCGGGCTAAAAAAAGAGGTGGGCACCCGTTGCACGAGAGATGTCAGACGACCCAAAAAAAAACAGGACGAAAACGGAAAGTTTGCATGTGAATGTCTACGAGAACGAAGATCTTCTTTTGGACGATGCGCGAAAAATAGGACGTCGTCACAGCAAAAGATTGTACACGATGCGATCACGTTCACGACAGGGGCAACACGAGGGCATAGCGTTAACGTACTTATGAGAACAGAAACACGGCCGTGCGACGGGAAATCTCCAGAATCAATTTCGCGTTTCATCGAGATGTAACCTAGGAAATCCACGAGCGGTCGGGTGAGAAAATAAGGGCACCAGCATCAAGAAGTATTGTATCAGTTTCAGTCAGGTTCTTTCAACAGTCAACGTGACGATCTGGCAAAACGAATGCTGCGAAGCCGAAGCCCGTCCAAAGAGACGTCAAAATAACAAAAACGCAATGAATTCTGTTACCGTTCCGCACGAATGATTCTGGGCAACAGATCTTGTCGATTAGTGGTCTGGCTGTCCTGTGGTCACTATTGAAACGCCCAGTACGGCCAGCTCGCATTTCTCAACGAAGTCCCTGATCTCTACAATTCGTCGTAGCCTATTGCTCGCTCCTTGTTTACTTTTTTATCGTGCTTTTTTCTACTCTTCCCGCGTTTCTTCTCCTTTGCATCTTGCCCTAGCCACTTCTTTCCGCCGGGGCAGTAGGCACGTCCGAAACGAGCGTATACTCGCTCCATTGCGCTGCCATAGTTCGCCAAGTCTTCGCCGCGCCACCGAGGTATGCCGGTGCAGTTTGTTTTCAGTGGGTCCGGCGTTTCCTTCTCGTAAGGGTCCAAATGCTCGAGAGGGTCGAACGCGAAGCCGTGAATGGAAAAGAACGTCATTGCCCAGAACTTATTCGGCGCGTAATCGCCAATGATCTCGCTCTGCGCCGGTATGTCTTTCGTCGCCGTCAGGCAAAACAGTTTTTTGCTTTTCTTCTTCTTTTTCTTCTTGCTTTTGGCGTCGGTCGTGGTCTTCTCCGCGACAGGAGCACCAACCTCTACTTTCTCCTCTTGCGCACCAGCACCACCAGATAGTACCTGTTGTTGTTCCAATACCCGCTCTGAGTACTTGGTGTTTACCCGCTTCGGCACGTCCGCGTTGATGAGGTCCATGAGAGGTACATTTGCGTCATCCGCGATGCTCAACGCGTCGAACCGGCGGGAAGACACCACCACGTATGCGTATTTGTAGGTTTGGTAATCGACGAGCTTTTTCGGTCGCAGTTTCACCGGGAGTTGGTTTCGCAGAAGACGGTAGGAGTCGTAGCACTTTTTGATGTTCCCCATGTTGTAGGCCACCATTAGGCCGTTCATGGGGCTCCAGTCGTGGTCCTCTCGTCCCGCTTCGGAAGAAATCCGGTCCCGCACGGAATGGACCCACGCGGGGTGGGTGTTGATGTAGGTTTCGTGCGAGGGGAGACTCTGGATCCACGGCCACCAGAAGGATTCCCCGGGGGCTTTTTCCATCTCCTCGGCCAAGTAAATGGCGGAGAGGTGCACCCCGATGCAGTGCCGTTTCTGCGTGTTTAACTTCGCCAGCGCCTTGACGTGGGGCGGCCACACGTGCTCGTTGAACATGCACTGCGGCGCCACGCAGAGCAAGTCTTCGTTCTTCTTCACTTCGTGCAACGTGCCCAACCCACGGATCGCCTGACCCGCCTGCGCTTGCGGCCGGACGAAGTCGGACAGGAACAAATTGTCCAGGCCGTACTTCCCGCTGGTCGCGTTGCAGTGGTCCTGGAGCCAGAGCGCCAGGTCCGCGACCATCGTGTCATTGCTTTCGGCGGTGAATGGTACAACGGGCGACGCCGCGAACGAATGCTGCTGGCCTGTCTGCGGTTTGCTGATGTTGTTCTCTTCGTCTTGCGCAGACGACCGCGTGCTGCCGGGAAAGAAAAACAGTAACCACAGAACGGCGAGAGGAACCGAGGACAAGAACAGAAGCCCGATTTTCTGACCCTGCACGCTCCACGCGGGCGCTCCTTTCGATTTATTTGGGGGCATCTTCTTACTTCGCTGGCCGTGGCCACGCACTTCCACTTCTCAGTGAAACATGACCTGAGTACGAATGCCAGAACAAGAAATGTGCAGGCAATAAGCACACAGATAACAGAGTAAAGTAAAGAGGTGGAGGAAAGTGGATGAAGCACGAAGGAATTGACACACGACATTCCTGATATGACTAATCTCGACAAGAACAATGTCCTCTAGGAACACAACCATGAGGCACTAAAATCGCTCACAAAACTGCCCAGGACATAGCTAGGCGGTCGTGGTTCTTGTGAACAATCATCTGCCTTGTACGTGTCCATATTCTTAAACGGTGGCTTTCACTCTTGGACTGCAGCCGCTGCGTATCATTATTTCGTGGAAGTCATGTACTTACTTCTTTTCGTTCTCGGATGTGAAGATGTTGTCGCTGTGATAAACTGCTAACTCCATCCGGGTCACGTGAAATCTGTTTCGTCGTAATTTCCCCACGGCGCGTGTGCGTCCGTTGGCCGGCCTTGCGCATCTACGACGCGTACCTTGAGTCCCTTGCCCTTGAGCATCGGCTCCCAGATCTTCATCATTGCGCCCTCGAAAGGGCCGTAGGTCTGCCCGTTCAGCTGGTATTGCCATTTTCTCGATGATGTTGTACTAGCTCCGGAAGATGATGTAGCACTTGCAGGACCTGCACCACCAGCTCCCGGCACAGCTGGTGCAGCCGGCGGACTGCTTTTGTTCCCTGGAACCGCGCCGTTTTTCGACGCGCCGCCTTCCTCCTCGTCGTCGGAGTCGTCGAGCAAATCTTTCATCATGTCGTTCATCTGGGCAGTCTGGGCCTTGCGTACCTCCGGCGGTACGATTTTCTCCTTCGGTATGTCGTAGATGTCAAAGGCCCCGAGCTCCAAGAGAATGTTGCACAGCTCCCCGATGCGACTGGCGTCCTCGGCGCCCTTGAGTTTCACGTCCACAACCCGCTTTTTGTAGCCCGGCGCAAATACTTCCCCGGCGGCCAGCTGTGGTTGTCCTGCAACCCCGGACGACGCGCCGGAAGAAGTGGTCCACGTCCCCCAAACCGGGTCGAACACGCGCTTCGACTTGTTGGTCTCTACCTTGCTGCCACTCCCATTCTTGCCGTCCGCAGTACTATTACCGTTGGTGCCCGCTACGCCCTGCTGTTGCTTCTCCAGCTTGCGCTTCTTGCGTTCGTGCGGTAGCAGGAACTTGCTGGAGGAGCCGGCGGTGGAGGAGGAGGAGGAGCCACCGGTTGTAGTCGACGCCTCGCGGATGCCGGCTTCGCGATTCAATCGCCGCATCGCGTCCCCGGGTGTCTCGCTCGCGGCAAGCAGGTCGGCTAATTCTCGCTTTAACCGCTCCGGGTTGTAGTTCACTGAAGTGATAAAAAAAAAGTACTTCGCTTTTTATACACGGCGCTCATCTCGAAAGCGAAAGCACTGGAGCCTCCTTCTCAAGAGGCGAAATGATTATAAAAGTCCACATATTGTTGTAAGTAGTTCGTCCTGCTCACACAAGTCAACCTACTAACGGCCACTGCTCGCAACTTTGAGTCGTGAAGCGGAGGAAAAAATTAGTAAATGAGTCGGCTACATGTGCGAAGCCAGAGCTGAAACAAGCAACCAAAGCATACCTCTGTTCTTCTCCGCTTCCTCGGCCTCCCGCTCCCGTATAAGTCGAATGTCCTTGTCGGTCATTTTTGCCTCCTTCGTGCCCTTATCCACCTCATCCAGCCACATGTCTGTAACCTCCTTCAGTTGCCGCACCTCGTCGAACTGGAACACGCCCTCACCCTCGTCGAACCGCCCCTCCTCCATCTCGCGGTCCATGTTGAAGGCCTCCAGCCGGTACCCCAGCTCTTGCTCCCGGTCCAGGGTCGGATTCTCCTCGCGAATACCCTCGCCTTCGCCGACCTGGGAAGAATTTTTACGTGGGTGGGGACGGGAAGACAGAGTCGTAAGTCTATCGTTATCTAGGAATCAAATGGGGATATAAGTGGAACTACAACTACCGACACCGTCCGAATGCGCAAAAATCAATAGTGATCTCTATTTTTCCCGGTTGAATTCATTTTGCATTCATAGGTCAACACGCAGCAAGATCAAAAGTAGTCAGTATGATCAGAGCCAGAATTGTCCTCTCTACTACAAAAAATACCGTGTCCTTCACCGTTCCGCCGGTTTTCCTCGCGTTTAACCTGCTTTGCCGTATCTGCTCGTAGTCTAGTGCGTTTGAGTCGTAATCCTCGAACTCGGCCTGCTCTTTCTTCGAGGTGCCGAAGGGATTGAAGTCCTTTCTGCCCTCCACCTCCTTCTCCTCGTCGCTGTCTTCCGCATTCGGCCGTCGTCGTTTTTGCGGCTTATTTGCTGCTGCATCGCCGTCTTTCTTGTTCATCCTACTGCGGTCGTGTGGTTTTCCATCGTCGGGGGGCAGGAGTGTTTCTTTCTGCGGTGGTCGACCTCCACCGCCCCCGTTTGCGACTGGCGGATTGTTGTTCCCCGGCCGCTTCTTGCCCTTGCCCTTCCCCTTTGATACCAGGTTGGGCGGGAGCATTCGCGCTTGGGCAGCTGACATGGCCACAACGAGCCAGGAAGTGGTCTAGTGATGTTAATAGGGCGATGACTGTATCGTTGACGTGAAGTAGGGGTAACCCATTCAAGCCAGCATCAAAATGTTCAAAGGCGGCTAGTAGTCCGCTCGACGTGGCATCCAGGTCAAGAAACTAGTGTTCGGAAATCGATCTATGTTTTTCTAGACCAGTGTTCGGGTTCGAATGGTATACGAAACAAAGCGTAGGTGTCACGAGTACCAGAGAGGGTCGAAGATGATTTTGATACTCGAATGATTTCTTCGGGAAAATGAAAACATAAAGGGAGTCCTAGGGTGTCGCTGCGTCGATCTGGTGTAAAAAGTTAGGATGGAAAAACAATAACAAATGCATCTTGCTACAAAACTACACCAATGGCTACGAGGGGTAGGTTGAGACGTTGGCCAAGGGCCATCGCCATGGATTGCAGAAAGAAGATCCATGTATATTAGAGGCATGGGATGATGAAGGACCTGTGTAATTAATCGCAAAGAAGATACGCTTTCGTCTACTAGCCTGAATGCTTCTCGATCTGCCTTCGGGTTCGGACCACGTTTCGAGCCCCGTTCACAATCACGTGTGAAGATTCTTCTTGTTCAATGGGAATGCGATCTAACTGAGTTCAACTGGCAGCTCGAGGACTTGCGAAAAACTATCGATTTCTTCTTCGAACACACAAGATTTGTAGGTAGGCCACGGCAGCGCAGACTTCGTCAAGTCGGGAAAAAACAAGTTGCTTTTGCTTGGAATCGCCATGGTAAAAATATTCTCCTGGCAATGAAATGTGATGAAATGAAAAGTCGCAATAGATAGTGCTGCTCGGAGCTGCGTACAGCCGCAGTAGACAAGCGGCTGCGCGATCGCAATGCCGCTCCTGGTCCTGATACATTATTCTTGACTCGTAAACTACACATGATTGCAGAAAGCCATTCTCGTCGCTAGTACTTCTTCTATCCGTCGCTACTGGATACCGAAAACTTTTTTGAGCGTGACGACGAGCTTCCAGTTATCCATGCTCATTTCGTCCTTGTAATGCTCTTTCAAGCAGTCGATGCTTTGCCTGGTGAGTTTCGAGTACAACGCCTGGGTGACGGAAAAATGCCTCCCGAGCACGATGTGCGACTGCAGCACCGTGGGCTGGATCTTCACGCAGACCGACTCGCCCTTGACGCCCTTGTCCACGACCTTTTTATCCTTCTCCACGCCGATCACGCGACCGATCTCCAGTCCATCCTGCTCCGGGATGCAGATCGGGGTGCCGACCTTGACCACGCCTTCCACCACGTCCACGCCAACGATGATGGGGTTCTTCTTGTTGAACACGTACTGGGGGATGATTTTCAGCACGCACGGGAAGACGGCTTCGTCCGTGACCTCCTTCTTCTTTAATTCACGGATGTTGTCCATGTACTTGGTAAATTGGTCAAACAAGTGGTAAATAATGTCCGCCGTGAAAATTGTCACGCCGGTGGAGCTACGATCGGCCTCTTTTCGCGCGTCTGCGTCGACCTGGTGGATGGTTTGTTTTTTGAAGATAATAGAATTTGAATTTCACTTTCATCTGAGTAGTAGCTATTCGGAGAGAAAACAAGTACGTAGTAGAGGACCCCAGAGCTGCACCAGCAGGCGTGCTCGTGCAGCCGTAGGGCTAATGCAGTGGAATGAAACATCGAGATCATGCTGTCGTAACTAACACATAGATACGTAACTATAATCATTCATTTTCATCAATTTCTGTACCTTCACGTCGAACGCCAAAATGACAGCGTATTCCGGTTTCCCCTTGTCCCGCATGATGGCCGCCTTCTTTACGTCCTTTTTGTGCACGACGCCGATGTTCGCCTGGAACACTGGGATGTTCATCGACTTCAGGAATGCCAATAAAGCCTCCAACGACCCTAGGGTGGATGCCTGTACGTACACTCCCAAATCTTCTTTCTCGAACGCGTTCACCATTTCCTCAAACTCGTCCTCGACTTCCTCCCTCACGTCCTCCAGCTCCTCCGGATCGTTGCACACGCGCAAACTGGCCCCGGCCAGGGCGTGCTCCAACCCGGTGGCGCAAATCTTGATGCCCATGCTGGTGTCCACTTTGCGGTGGTTGATGTAGTCCCCCTTCACCCGCATCTCGCGCAAAGGCTGCGGCGTCAGCAAGGCGCGGACCTGTTGACGTTGGCAAGAGAGGTTTACATTGTGCTTTTGGAACCGATGAGCGAATCATACTCCATGTGGTCCTCCTGCTCTTCGATCTGCCAGTGCCAGCCCAGCGTCACGACAAAATAAACGCAGGAGGAGTTGTGTATTTTTTCTGTTTACTCCTCTTTTTCTTTCCTAGTATCTGCATGCCTTCGGTGATGTTGTTCAGGTTAGTTGCACATCACCAGCACGTCGAGAGGCTGATATGAAAAATCCAAAGTGATGTACCTGTGTGACGATCGCGCCGTTCATGCCTGGGACGACGATGGTGTCACCCTTGTTCAGTTCGCCGTTAACTAACACCACGTCCATGGTGGTGCCCAGACCCTCGATGGTTTTCACCTCCAGGATCGTGCACTCCAGCTCCTTTTTAATTTCCAGTCGCCGGTACATCGCTTCCTGACTCAACCGGATCAGCATGTAAAGCAGATCCGGGACGCCCTCGCCGGTAATCGCCGAGGTGGGGATCACGGAAACGTTCTGCTTCAGGTTCGGGTTCTCCCAGTAGAGGTAGGTATTCAACCCCTTCTCCGCGAGGGACGTTTGAATTTTGCCGAACCTGGAGGTTTGTGCGATGGAAGAGTAAAAGAAGCTTTGCGCCGCCCTCGATTTCATTCGATTCGGGCGTTGTGTCCGATAATAGTAGTACACTTTGACAGATGAACTACGGTCGAATAAAAAAGCCTGTTCAATATGCCTTGTCGTGCGCTGCAACATCCATTCTTTATCAGGTTGGCAGCAAGTAAAGACTACAGAGAAAAAGAAAATTTCGTAGCTTTACTACATTTCGTGGCAATAGTACTTAAGTACCTGTCCCAAAACTCGGATTTTGTGTGCTCCTTCTGCTTTTCAAAGCTGTCCTTGAAAGCCACATAAGATTTGCTGTCCCAATCGTAGCAGCGATCCACTTTGTTCAACGCAATGATAAAGTTGCACCTGTGGAAAGATTGATAGTCAGTTGCATCATGCTGATAACATATTTTTATACTCATCCGAAACAAGAAGGACTTCACCACGCTACAACTCGGTAGTGCGTGTCGTGTGTCGTGCTCGTGTCGTGTGTACTCTATTCAGAAAAGTGAGTACTTGCGCTGCTTCAACATTTCCAGGGATTCGAGTGTTTGCGGTTCGAGGCCGTGCATGATGTCCACGACCAGGATCGCCAGGTCGGCCAGGGAGGATCCGCGTTTTCGCAGGTTGTTGAAGGATTCGTGCCCCGGTGTGTCGATGATGAGCAGACCGGGAAGGTCGAGCTCCATCTCCTTGTCCACCTTGACCAGCTGCTCCTGCAGCGAGGCCTCCGGGAAAAACGTCGCGCCAATCTGCTGCGTGATGCCGCCCGCCTCGCCGTCCTGCACGTTGGTGCGGCGGATCTTGTCGAGCAGTTTCGTTTTTCCCGTATCGACGTGCCCCATGATACAGACGATCGGCGACCGCAGGCCGAGATACTCGTCCTCCGAGGAGCTATCCGAGTCGGAATCGTCATCGGAGTCCGAATCCTTCTCCGATGCAGTGTCGTCGTTTTCGTCTTTTTTAGTTGTACTACCGTCACCGGCTTTCTTTTTCGCGTCTCCTGCGGTGGCTGCCGTGTCCGTCTTGTCGACCTCCTCACTGGACTTCTTTTCCTCTTCGTCGAACTCTTTTTCCCAGTCGTCTTCCGACTCTTCCTGCGCCGGTTCCTCTTCCTTGAGCGGCGTCTTTTTCGGTGACCGCGACGGGGAGGAGGGGCTGCTGCTCGTATTTTTCGTGTTTTTCCCGGTCGTGGTCGTGGTCTCGTCCACGTCTTCTACGACTAAATCTTCCTTTTGCTCCGCTGCCTTTTTCTTCTTTGCCCCCTCGTTGAAGAGCGTCAGCTGGTTCACCTTCTGTACGCGCTTGAAGACCAAGATGCAGCTGCCGTCCACGGGGTACATCCCGAGCCCGAACTTTTTGTCCGTGATCTTCGCGCCCTCGTCGGTCTTGATCTTAAACAGCGCGTCCCCCTTTTTCACATCAGCACCTTCGATCTCCGCGGGGAGCGGGGCCTCTACCACCCACTCCTTCTTCTTGAACTGCAACTTCTTCTTGAAAAAGTCCTTCAGCGGCTGCGTGAGTGCCACTTCGATCAGCTCGGGGCCCTTCGGGGCGCTACTCACGACGTGCGTGTCCAGGCCGAGCGCTTCCCGCGCGCGCTGCGCCTCCTGCTGCTGCTTTTTCTGCGCGGCGGTTAAGTACGTGCCTAACCGCTTCTGCTCTTCAATCTTCTTGGCCTTTTCTTCCTTCTTTTTCCTTTCTTTTTCGGCTTTTTGTTTTTCCTCCTCCTCGAGTCGTTTCTCCTCCGCCTCCTCTTGTATCTGCAGCTCCTTCAACTTTTGCTGTCGCTCTTCCTCCAACGCCTGCTGCTCTGCCAATTTCGCCGCGAGCAGCTTACCGACGGCGCCGCCCTTTTTCTTTTTACCGCCCGCGTCCTTGCCTGGGCTGTCGTCCTCCTTTTTATTTTCCTCCTCCTGCTGCGCCTTGAGCTTCGCTTCCTGCTCCTTGCGCTTTTTCGCCTCCTTTTTCTTGCGGTTCGCGATCTGCTTCGCGGTCAGGCCCTCGTCGCCAGCTGCGTCGTCACCGTCCTCATCCGCGTCGTCCGAAGCCGCGGGTACTTGCTCCGCTGCTGGTTTTGTGCTGCTACTGGCCTTCTCCGGTGTTGTACTAGCCGCGGGAGGAGGTGCGGCCTTCTTCTTTGCCTTGGAGCCGGAGCTTTTGCTCTCTTCCACTACCCCGAATGCTTTCAACGCCGCCTCGAAGTCATCTTCTTCGTCGTTGCCTCCGGCCGCGCCTTTCTTGCCCTTTTTCTTCTTCGCGTTCTCCTCTTTGGGTTTGTTTTTCAGTGTCAGGCACTCCTCGTAGCTCGGCACCGGGCCGATTTCCGCTTGCGGCAGCGTGACGGGAAGGTCCGCCCGGAACGCGGTCGTTGGCCACAGCAGCTCTCGGGGCCCGCAGAACATGCCCTCGCTGTCAAAGCCCCCGATGGTCGCAACTTCCACCTGCATTTTATTTTTGTGTATGATGTACTGCATGTACTGTAATCGGCTTTTCACAGCGAAACCTTCTTCCCCTGCATAAACAAAATTTTGCACAACGTGAACGTGCGCGGAATACAGAAGAGTGCAATAGAAAAATGGATTTCATCCTGCTACCTGCACTCCATTTGGCAGCGGCACGGGTGCGATGGCTGTGACGACCTTCTGGCCCTCTTCGACCTTTGCGTTGGTAATGATGAAGACCTCGTCATCCCGATCTGGCACCTCCACCAGCACCTTCAGCAGGGTTCCGTTCGGTACCTTCTCGACGGATTGGATCAACCCAACCACGATGTTCTCCACATTGCTCAAGTCCGGAACTTCGCCCGCGGGCGATCCCGCAGTCGTGTCGTCGCCGCCACCGGAATTCCCGGTGTTCTTCTTGTTTGCGTTCTTCTTTTTTGGTGCCATTTTCACTGAGTCGCCGATTCAACAATTGCAGGCGAACGTATTTTTGTACGAGGTGGAGAACGAGGGTTTAGTAAATAATCATAGTAGTTCATCTGAAACGGCGCGTTTCGTATATGTCGGTCTCGACTCGCTTCAACACAAGAACCTAGTAATCCAATAAATGGTCGGGAAACAAGGCAATTCCCTTGCAGTCTGGTTCAGGTAAACCACAACACGAAGATCCGTCGCGGAGACTAGATGCCTCAAATAAGCACCAGAGGTGCAAAATGCTGTCATACGTGGAAGAATGGGCACCAGTGTCCTTGAATGAAAGAAGCGAAACGGAAAACAGATCTCATATCATTGGGTAATTGTCAAGATCTTTTCTCTCGCTACGCAAATGCTTGTTGTGGATTCAGCCGCATCACTTACAAAAAATATCCTGGTCGTTGCATCTTCCTTGAGATTCTTTCTGATCTTCCATTTTCTTGTTACACTTTTCATCATCAAACGGAACCTGTTCCTCTTTGCAAGAAGTGCGCACCATGTTAAAGCGGATCACATTGATTTATTCCATTGTGTCTTCTCTTTCATTTCGCTGAAGCTGAACACAGAAACCTTGTCCTGCATGACTTGTGGTCGTGATAGGGTCGCACAGATGTACAGATAGATACGTAAAAATGGGGGCACCTTTCCTTGAAAACGACTTCTTCGCGAGAGTTTCTCGTCGGTGTAGTCGTATTGCTCCTTGTTTCAAAGTTCGCTACTCTGTACTTCTAGTTACTCTCAGAGAGGCGGGGGTCGTTTTGCGATCATTGCATTGCCCGTTCTGTACGCAGAAGAAGGACGCCAGAGAGCGGAACGGCATGGCTATCACGACAAGATAGCCGTGCAAAGCAAATACAGATGGTGGGTGGGCGCAGTACAACTATTTTGGTTCTGCACCACGACGCATGACCAACATCCGTTTTTTCATTCACGTCGCCAAATGACTAGTGCTGATACTTGAGGGGCTGATCTGCCCCACGCCGGTTCATGTACTGTCGGTACGAGCGGTTTGTCTGCTTCTTCACCCCGGAGGCCTCGGACGTGGTGTGATCTTCGCCCTTGCTGGTGCCGAATCCCGAGAAGCCCATCATCTTCTGCATCGCTTCCATCTCAGATTGTTGCTTTTTGCGCTCCCGCCGCCGCTCCTCCTTCTCCTGCTGTTTCTTCTTTTCCTCCGCCGCCTCCTTGGCTTTCCGAGCGGCCTCGGCCTTTTGTTCGTCGCGATCGCCGCGGTCCTTGTTCTTCTTCGGTTTCTTCTCAACGACCTCGCTGTCGCTCGAAGGTTGTTGATCGCGAGGACCACCGCCGCCTCGGTCGCGCGACCGGCCCCGTGGATGAACCCGCCGGTCCTGTTCGCGCTCGCGGTCCGACGGAGCGGCCGCAGCCCGCTTGCTGTTGTATTTATTGTCGTCCCGATCCTGGTCGTAGTTCGAGCGCTTGGAACCGCCGTTGCCATTGTACTTGCTGGTATGCTTCGAGGAAGACTTCTCCTCCTGTTGTTCTCGGGCGTCATAGTAGCGGTCACGGTCTCCGTTGTTACCACCCCTGGACCGCGAGCGCCGGTTGTTCGTCCTCCGGTTGGACCGCGAGCGACTCTGGCTCGCGGACTGCTCACTGCTACTGTCGCGTCCGCGTCGGCCCATCTTGCCTTCTAAAAGCGGATCGTCTAGTGGAAGATCGCAAAATCACAGTTCACACGGGCTACTACAAGTGGAAGCTTGGTCTAAGTCAATCTCGTCTACGCCTCTACTTTACCGCAAGCCTGATGGAAACATGTCAGCTGATGTGGCGTCGATTTAGTCAAAGATCGACGTAACTTTTTACGTTCCAGCATCCGTATTTTTGTGAAGGATCTTTGGGTTCATCGGCAGAATAGTGGCCACAAAACATTTTTTTCTACCTTCGCCGTCTTTGATTCGCAAGTTTTACTTACCGTGTAAGTACTTACCGTGTGAGTAGTTCAGCATCTTCTGTTGTCTAGACTTATTTCAATTCTGCTTCCTCAAATTGGTCTTAAGAAGCCGGCAAGTTGTTTTCAACAAGCGTTGTTGTGGTTCTTACATTTCATACACATACTATATGTGGGTACGATTTCGATCGGGCACGGGTCTATTTTTGCGAGCCAAATGATTTTCTATTGCCGTTTCCTCCCGCGTAAGTACCCAAAACACAGTGAACGATATTCGCGCTCGTTTTTACCACATTTTCGTTGTGGCATACTTGATCGCTTCGCTTCAATTCATCGTGTCGCACTTTGTCGCTTTCGTTGTACTTCTCTTCCGATTCTTGGGCAGGACTCGAAGGAAAAGCTGAAATCACAATCATGGAGCTCAGGGTTAGGGACGGAAAAAAGAAGACCTACTTTATGATAGTGAGTAGTTCCAAAAATTGTCTACACACAGATGAAAATTCAAGTATATGCTGTTACGTTTGAAATTAAATCAATAGAGATGAAAACAAGAAGTGTTGCCGGCGCAGGCACGTAGCCAGCACAAAGAACAACAGGCCAGCCTAGAAGGTGCGGGGGGAGCTACTGCGTTATTCCTGATAAGGCACAGCAGCGTTCACCAGTCGGACAGGAGCTGCTTGAGCTCTAATGTAGATAAAGCCGAAGAAAAAGACGGAGAACCTCGCATAATTCCTTATATGTAGTCTATGGATAAAAAAGATTAAGTGACGCGGCCGAACACCGTGTGTGGTAGAGGCAGGGTGCCCTCCTAGTCTTACTTTCACTTTGACAAAAAATTTACAGTTTTTTCGGAACGTCGGTGTGCTTTATACAACTAACTTATATGACATCAAAACTGCTCACATCACAGTTGCATGCTGTATTCTCGGAAAAAACTGGTCCTATTCAAAATCAGAATCGCTGGAGGGGTGAGTAACTAATCAGACTCACCTGCATTGGATGTTAGTTTCTTGTAATAGGCCACATCACTTCTTTCGTGGACTACTCGCTACAGTAGCGGACGGTGAACCTGAACCTGGACGTCAATCAGAAAATACTTTTATTCAAATAAACCAACCGTAATCCCGGTATTATCGGCCGCTGGAGTAAATAAGTACTTACACAAGCCGCTGCGGCTTATCCACCAGCCGCTCGGCGGTAGCCTTCCATGACTGCGTCGAACAGTTCGAAATCGCCAATGCAGGCGGTAATATCGTCGCCGCGCAGGACTGCGTTCCGAATTTCCTTCGCAAACTTGGAGGCCTTGTTCTGCCCGGCCTCCACTTTTGTGACCGCAAGGTCTCGCATTTCCGGGTAGTGATCGCCTTCCAGCAAATCTTGCTTGTAGTTGCCAAGCACTTCAACCAAAGGAGAGAGGTAGGGCTTGCTTATCTGATGTGTAGTTGGAAAAAAAAACTACTATAGACATTTACCCTCGGCTCCACTGTGTAGCTGCTCCCATGCTGTTGCAGCCCACCGCATATGCTGCTCTATGGTTTGATCATTCTTGTTAACGCATACAGTGTACCACTACGATGACAACAGGAAACAACGAAGAACTGCTATATAAGCGTACCACTCCGTTAAACGCTTGTTCCGTGGCCGGGTTGTTTGCTAGCACCGTTAGGGCGGAAACTTTGTCGCCCGGGATGAACGCCTGCAGGTCCAGAACAGCGCGGAGACCCACGGCCGCGGACCCGATGCTGGCCATAGCGACGTTCACGCTGCCACCGACCACACCTTCGTCAAAATCTTCCGCACTGAAAATCACGCAGCCACGCCACACCAGCTCGGTCAGCAGCTTCGACGTCTGAGAATCAAACAACATAGTTAAGTAAACGACATTTATTCAAGTGTTGAAAAAGCGATGGCATTCACATTCTCCTCCCAAACTATACGAAGAACAACTTCTAGGGGTACAAGACGCGTAGTCATAAAACATCTTTCTCTGTCTTCTACAGAAACTAGGTTCAGATTTACGCAGTACACCTACTTGCACGCGGTCTCAACAAAAGCACTCAAGTAGTAAGTACTTTCTTTATAAGTACCGTTTCATCCTGGCCAATTGCGTAGACTTTTGCCGCAAGCACCATGAATTTTGCGTCGATCTCGACGGATTCGCCGACCTCGACGCATATTTCGCTCCCAAAGCTGGGCCACTCCTCCACGATGGGCACTGCGGGTTTGCGCCACATCCACGAGTCAGCTAGCGCGTCGGCGCCGTCCTCCTCGTCCGCATCCACGTCGTGCCAGACGCCAAATGGATCCCCCGCCGTGTACTGCCACACAAACACAGTGTTGCCCTCGTCGTCCGAGTCGTCGTCGGTGCTTTTGTCGTGCTGGCCGTGGCCTGGTGCAGCTCCTTTTGATGTTGTTGTACTACTATCGTTTGTGCTCTTGTTTTCCTGCTTCGCTGCTGTTGAACTCGGAGAGGACCTTCCCGCCGCTGAGCCGGAATTATAATTATGGTCCTCTTTCATGGCCCCCTCCGTGTTTTTCCGCTTCAAAAAGTCGTCCTCAGAAGAAACTTTGTCTCCCGAGGTTCTCGAGGCACCAGCAGTAGTAGTTTTTGCTGGATCTATTTTTTTGGCAGAATTTTTGCTCGGTGGATCATGTGCAGGAGCGCCGTGGTGGTCGATGGGTTTAAAATAGACTGGCACTGGACTAGAGAACACGTCCTCGCTGATTTCGATTTCCGCCACTTTGAACCGGGTTCCGTCCTCGTTGGCTACGACGTTGAGGCGGTGCAAATCCGGCCCCTCGAAGGGAATCACCTCCAGAAACTGGCCCTTGCTGTCGACCCACGAGCCGAGTAGGCCCTTCTTTACCGTTTCGTACACATCCAAAATGGGCCGCTCAAGATGGTGCTGGTGGCCTTCGGTGGAGGCACCATCGTCGTTGGTGAGGTAGTGGCTCCGGCCGGACTGCGGCCGGGTGCTGGGAGCACCGCCCCCGCTGCTCGCGGAGGTGGAGCAGATCTGCAGGTATTCCTCAATGTCGCTGTCGTCGTCGCAGATGTTGGGGTCGTTCTGCAGGTTGTGCAGCAGAAGCAGCTGGTCGTGCTTGATCGCCTTGTTGGAGGCAAAAATCCAGATGTTCGCCACGGGCGGGGGATTTTCCATGTCGAGCCGGATGCTTCCGTCCGATAACCACTTCAGGTCCTCCTTATCGTCCGGCCCGTACAGCAGTTCCATGGTGGATTCCTCCACCTGCGAGGCCACCAAGTTCACCAGAAACGTACCCACCGGCAGCTTCGGCCGGTTCTCCAGCTTCGCGCTCTGCTTCGTGTCGCGGTTAGGTTTTATACCTGTAGGAGATTTTTTTCTACCACATGTAGTTCGATGGAACCTCACATCTGCATCATATAATTCTCATTCAAAGTAGATTCTATTCCAAGCATGGTTGTAAGACGAAACTACCAAGAATGCGCTCGTTGAGGAGAGGAGTTGAAAGTGATGAAACTCAAGCAAGCTATACCTTTGTCGTTGAAGGGCATCTTCAGACTGGCGCCTTCAATTGGTGCGGCGTCGTAAATTTCCTCCCATGGTGTCTGTTCGCTGTCCGGGTTGTAAACGTAGTCGGGGAAGGAGATGCGGAGCAACGCCTCCTGTTCCGGGGACGTGTTCTCCCGAAGAAACTCGATTGTCGCACCGCGGATGGCCTTGGCCTCCCGCTTTGTCACAACCAGGTGGGGCCACACGAAATGCAGGGAAACTTTGTAGCTCTGCGACTTCGTGGAAAAACCGGAGGAGGAAAACACGTGCACCGTGGTTTTCAAGCAATTCTGGCAGATCCCCAGCACGTCATCCGAACGCCACACGGCACCAAACACCGCACCTGGTGATAGATTTCTCGTGATTTTTGGAGTACAGAATGTAGAGGTAGCTCTGAACTTGTTCTAGTACACATGTCTTCTACTGGTGCAGCAATCAGGAGGTAACGTGTTATTTGTACCCTACGTCGCTCTGCTGGAACGAAAATTTGGATATGGATTGCAAATCGAACCCGGAGGTGAACATGAAAAGCAGGACCTGCTATGTAGTTCAGCAAAGTACCTCTAATTTTCAGCAGTTGCGCTATCCATCTTCTTTCTAGTGCCTTGATTTCTTCGCCGGTATCGACGAAGCCCGGGGGTAAGAAGAGGTCCACATCTTCGTAGAAGCGGAACCGCGTTGTCGCCATTTCTACCAGCGTCAAGGGGCGCTTCTGGCGGTAGAAGAACGCGATCGCGCAGAACAGCTTGGTCATGTGATCTTGCCTGGTCACGTTCAGTTTCCCCGTCCGGGGCATCCGCTGATCCGCGGAGCCAATTATGGACGAGTGCGTGTACGTGTAGTCGCCGGCCACCTGTCGTGGTCGTAAGGTCAGATCTCTCCACAAAATCAAATCGATGTACTTGCGCGTCAAGATAAGAAGGTCGAGCTCGACGTAGTTCATGAAGTAGGCCTACTTGACTTTGGTACTGTTCCTTGTTGCTTGCGATGCAGCTGCTATGTTTTCACTCACAAGAAGCATGTCGAGTCTGCATCAATAGAAACAGCAACAGGACGACACCAGGTATAACTGGTATAACATTGATTACCTTGTATTTGAAGAATGTAACCAGGTCGTTTTCCTTCTCGAAGCCGTCCTTTGCTTCTAGATCCTCGATGACCTTTTGTGGGTCTTCTTCCTCCTCGACTTTATTCTCGTCCTCTCCTGCTTCATCCTTGGACTGCGCCCCAACACCCATTCCCCCAAAGAAACCGCCGCCACCTAGAGTGTTACACGTTACGAACTTCAAATTGCATAGATTTTTGAGTTGTTGGGTAACAGCAAGCAACATGCTTCACGTTCACACACAAAACTACAGGTAGCAATACCTTTGTTTCCGGGTGGCAACCCCCCTTTTCCGCCACCGGGGTTGCTCCCGGGCGGGCCCCCTCCTGCACTGTTCGCCGCGTTAGTGGACGCGGCAGAGGCGGTTTTTCCCAGCATTCGGAGGATGTTACTCGGTGCCGAGTCGACGCTGGGACCCTTTTTGCCCAGCGGCGCACCCTTTTTCGCGCCTCCGGCTCCGCCGAAGCTGGGCACTATATGCTTGCCGGGCGATTTCACCGGGGAGACCATTCCCGGCGGCGGAGTGATGTTAGAGGAACTGGTGCTGGGAAAATAGGACATCAAATCCCCCGGAGGTGGATGCTGGGAGGAGTTGAGACTGGCATTTCCCCCTCCTGCGCCGATGGGAATCGGCTCGATATCCACGGTGCTCGTTGCGCCGCCATCATTATTTTCCTCGCTCGAGGAGGGATGCGGCGGGTTGTTGAGGCTGCTAGTTTCGCCCTCCGGGACAAGTCCTCTCGGTTGATAATCATCTTCCAAGGCCGAAGAAGCGGCAGCACCGACATCAGCCGTCGTAATTGTATTACCGCCGTAGTAATTATTTCCCCCTCGTCCAGCGGTTGCTGCAAATGCCTCGTCGCCGGTCGCTGTGGAAGTGGATGGGCCTCCTCCCGGATTGATATACAGCTCGTCCGGCGTATGGAAAGAAAAAAGTTTGTCACAGTCACTAACTTGCAGGTTTTGCATTACAAATTTTTTTAGCATCACAAGTTTACCTTGTATTGCAGAAATAATAGGGAAATCCCCTATGAAGCTTGGCTGTCATGCATTTTTACGCATGACAGCCAATTTTGTATTGCAAAAATGCGCATGAGTGATCGTGACGAACTTTTTTTGTTTGATACGGCGGTGGTGGAGGGACTTCCGCGGCGTTTTTCGAGGACTCCGTCGCCGTGTCGCTAGCGCCCGAACGGTGTTGTGACGTGATGTAGCTCGGCATCCGTATTTCCCCTGAGACGGCACTGGACGATGTGGCGGAGCCGTAGTCGGCGCTCTGCTGCAGCTCCGGGTCATTATTTGTTCCACCGAGGTGGTGGTGATCCTCGCCGGTGCGCGCTTTATTACTGCTTTTCGTCGTGTGGTCACCAACATCTCTTCGCGCCGTACTACCATCATCCGTGCTACTTCTTCCGGGTGTAGTTCTTGAGTCGCCAGCCTTCTTTTCTTGGACGGCGCCGCCGGCCATCATTACAACACGGCAGCGCTATGTCGTGAGAAGCTGCGAAATAAGTCAGGCGGCGGTCTTCACTGCGTTGTATGTTGATCCGCCCCCGCGGCGGCTCTCCGCTGAATCACAAGTAGCTGTCGTCGCACTTGTCGACCACGCGCAAGAAGAACACCAACATGATTGTCGTGGTTCTTTGCGGGCGCAAAGGAGCAAAATCCTTCAGTATTTCCTCTGTGATCAGGAGGTGGTCATAAAGTGGCCATAGTCAGGATCAGAGAAGCACAATGGGTTCACTTTATCAACGAGGGAATAAATACCAAAAAACCTCCTCTCAACTTACTACACATAACATACGTAAAGAAGGAGGTCATCGTCTTAATGACAGGATCCTCTTTGTTCAAATAAGAGTAAAACACCAGGGAACGTATCAGATCCAGATATCTATATATTTACTCAAAACCTAATTGATCGTAGCCTGCGTCAAAGATTTTGAAAGGAGAGATCAACAAATGTGATCGATACACGAAAACACAGACAAGGAAAACAGCAACGAGGTAGAAAAATCAGAGAAAAATGTAAGTACTTAGAGCGGGGTAACAAATTCTGGCGAGTTGTGGCCGTCCCACTTCTCACCCGCCCGGCCGGGTGGGTGACTAGTGGGACGGAACCAGGATCCTGACCACGAGAACGGCGGAAATTCTACCACCTCCTGCAAGACCTGCGGGTGTGGCTGGTAGAAGAATGAGGTGCGGAAAACAAAAAATCCTGCGTTTGAGGGTTTCACTAAGCCAAAGCAACGGCTTTTTTACCACGAGCGGAATCGTCTTTCTAACACCTCCTGCAAGACTTGCGGGCATGGCCGGTAGAAAGAAGAATCAGGTGCGGAAAACAAATAGCGCTGCTTCCGAGGCTTTCAGTAAGCCAAAGCAGCATTTTTCTTACTACGAGCTGAATCTTCTTTCTACCACCTCCTGCAAGACCTGCGGGTGTGGCTGGTAGAAAGAAGAATGAGGCGCGGAAAAAAAAAAGCGTTGCTTTTGAGGCTTTCAGTAAGCCAAAGCAGCGATTTTTTTGCCACGAGCTGAATCCTCTTTCTACCACCTCCCGCAAGACCTGCGGGTGTGACTGGTAGAAAGAAGAATCAGGCGCGGAAAACAAAAAACGTCGCTTCTGAGACTTTCAGTAAGCCAAAGCAACATTTTTTTTTGCCACGCGCTGAATCTTCTTTCTACCACCTCCTGCAAGATCTGCGGGCGTGGCTGGTAGAAAGAAGAATCAGGTGCGGAAAACAAAAAACGCTGTTTCTGAGGCTTTCAGTAAGCCAAAGCAACACTTTTTTTGCCACGAGCTGAGTCTTCTTTCTGCCACCTCCTGCAAGACCTGCGGGCGTGGCTGGTAGAAAGAAGAATCAGGCGCGGAAAACAAAAAACGCTACTTCTGAGACTTTCAATAAGCCAAAGCAGCGCTTTTTTTGCCACGAGCTGAATCTTCTTTCTACCACCTCCTGCAAGACCTGCGGTTGTGGCTGGTAGAAAGAAGAATCAGGTGCGGAAAACAAAAAACGCTGCTTCTGAGGCTTTCAGTAAGCCAAAGCAACATTTTTTTTGCCACGAGCTGAATATTCTTTCTACGACCTCCTGCAAGACCTGCGGGCGTGGCTGGTAGAAAGAAGAATCAGGCGCGGAAAACAAAAAATGCTGTTTCTGAGGCTTTCAGTAAGCCCAAGCAACATTGTTTTTACCACGAGCTGAATCTTCTTTCTACCACCTCCTGCAAGACCTGCAGATGTGGCTGGTAGAAAGAAGAATCAAGTGCGGAAAACAAAAAACGGCGCTTCTGAGGCTTTCAGCAAGCCAAAGCAACGCTTTTTTTACCAGGAGCTGAATCTTCTTTCTACCACCTCCTGCAAGACCTGCAGACGTGGCTGGTAGAAAGAAGAATCAGGCGCGGAAAACGAAAAACGCTGCTTCTGAGGCTTTCAGTAAGCCAAAGCAGCACTTTTTTTGCCACGAGCTAAGTTTTCTATCTACCACCTCCTGCAAGACCTGCGGGCGTGGCTGGTAGAAAGAAGAATCAGGCGCGGAAAACAAAAAACGCTATTTCTGAGGCTTTCAATAAGCCAAAGCAACGCTTTTTCTGCCACGAGCTGAATCGTCTTTCTACCACCTCCTGCAAGACCTGCGGGTATGGCTGGCACAAAGAAGAATCAGGTGCGGAAAACAAAAAGTGCTGCTTTTGAGGCTTTCAGTAAGCCAAAGCAACACTTTTTTTACCCTGAGCTGCATCTTCTTTCTACCACCTCCTGCAAGACCTGCGGGCGTGGCTGGTAGAAAGAAGAATCAGGCGCGGAAAACAAAAAACGCTGTTTCTAAGACTTTCAGTAAGCCAAAGCAACGCTTTTTTTACCACGAGCTGAATCTTCTTTCTACCACCTCCTGCAAGACCTGCAGACGTGGCTGGTAGAAAGAAGAATCAGGCGCTGAAAACAAAAAACGACGTTTCTGAGGCGTTCAGCAAGCCAAAGCAGCGCTTTTTTTGCCAGAAGCTGAATCTTCTTTCTACCACCTCCTGCAAGACCTGCAGACGTGGCTGGTAGAAAGAAGAATCAGGCGCGGAAAGCAAAAAGCTGTGCTTTTTGAGGCTTTCAGTAAGCCGGAGCAACACTTTCTTTACCACAAGCTGAATCTTCTTTCTACCACCTCCTGCAAGACCTGCGGGTGTGGCTGGTAGGAAGCAGAATCAGGTGCGGAAAAGAAAAAGCGTTGTTTTTGAGGCTTTCAGATCCGGCCAGCTGGTCAGGATCCTGGTTCCGTCCCACTAGTCACCCACCCGGCCGGGCGGGTGAGAAGTGGGACGGCCACAACTCGTCAGAATTTGTTACCCCGCTCTTATATCAAAAATAAATGCAGTGCTAAGCACTGACTCGGTATGCCATCATTGCTCTTTCCAAAAGAGCAAAGATGGCATATCGAAGGATGGGAACACCGCCACAAAGTCCAACTTCTACTTCGGTGATCTCTGTATTTCGAGATCAGCAAAGGATACCGGCTCTTCTACCGTGCCTTTTATTCCAGACTAAACTTTTTGACCTCAACATACAGATCTTCAACTTGCTCCTGTTGAAAAAATCAAAGTTATATAACATCTTTCGCAACATACTTGCAAAATGTCTCAATCTTGTTTAGTAGAAAGCTGCATGGGCAGCTGCTCCCATGGTCGCCAATCTACGAGGCTTTGTCGAAAACGCCGGCAAGTATACCTTGCCAGACCAGAATTCGAAAGGATATAATTCTTGCTGCACATGTTTTGTTTTGCTTGTTATGTTGCGAGTAATTCAATCGTCACAGTGATGAAAAGCTCTTGGCATATATCAACACAGAAACAAACCTATTGCGGAACTGCCGCAAGCCGCAGGCGCAGCTGCTTCGAAAATAAAGAGCACCAGTGCGGACAGCAGGAGTATCCATTTGGCCGCTCCGCGTCGCACTTCGGGTAGCTCTGAAATGATCTGAATACCAGCAACACACCAAAATTTAAATTTCGGTGGCACTGCTATCAGCTGCGCGAACAAAAATATCGGAAAATTATTGCACCGCATTGTTTCTTGAAATTGAAAAGCAAAGCTAAAGTTGTAGCAAGATGCTTGTACAATAAGTTCCGTCAGGAGTGCTCCATGGGAAACTAATCTCTATGTGCGGAAACCATTTTGCAGAAAATGCTCGTCCAGAAAGAAAAATTCGATATGGATTGAAATTGAATATGGTACTCGAGGACAGAGCATGGCAACATCATACATGACAGCGATAGTGAAGCTTTCTGCCGCCTCTACGCCGAGATAAGGCACTAAATATCAGGTGCAGGAGGAGGATTTCTCCATTTTTCTTCCGTGATTTCTCGAGTATCCGACTTGAGACCACGAAGCACAACCGACATGATCCACCTTTCTGGCATATCGAGGCGCTCCCTACCAGTCTTTCCGATCCTTGGCGAGGCACATCGCTTGGAAAAATCGCGAAGAATCAAGTTTAAGCAATTTGTTGAATGCATCTGTTTCACTTTACCCACCACCATCTTCAGTCGTCCCATGATCCACCAACTTTTTGCTTGTGCTGCTTCTTTATGTCTCAGCAGGTGTAGCGGCCCTACAGTTTGGCCGCGAGATCGCGAGCTATCGTCGAGGTTGTGGTCGTCGTTGTTCCACCTCCCGATCCACCTGACGAGGTTGATGTTGACGAGGTAGTTGTGCTACTAGTCCCGGTCGTAGTGTTCTTTGTCGGGTGTAAAAAGCCTCTTATTTTCACTTTTCCCTGCAGCTCGGGCAGTAACTCCCCAGCGAGTAGGTCCTGTTCCCGCCGGAACTGCCCCTCCGCGAAGTCGGACGCCGTTTGCTGCGCCGTGTGCGCGGGGTCCATCAAGTCGAGCACCCGTAGCACCCCGTCTTCTACGCGAATGCGATGGGAGTGGTCGAACACCTCTTGTACAGTAGTGGAGCTGGAGATGGTCGTGTCCGAGTTGGTCCGCGACTCCTCCGTGATCGTGATGGTCGCCGCCGGACTGGCGTCCCCGTCGGACGAACTGCTGCTGAGGATGACGCACCACGCGACGTTGGCAACCGACAAAAACAGCACCTGCGCACTGGCCGAGATCGCGGTGTACTGCACGAAATTGATCGGGATCCAGAACTGCAGACACTGCGCCAACGCGTCCGGCATTTCCCGTTGAAGCCGCTGCTGGATGTGCCCAAAGGACTGGCCCATCAGCGCGCCGTGGCACAGGTAGAAGGAGGGAAAGTAGAGGAACGGGTTGTACAGAATGTGGGTCACGAACATTTTTTGCACCAGACCGAAATTCCGCCGCTTGTTCTCCAAAAAGTTGATGTAAAAATGCAGCGGCACCCCCGCCCAGGCCAGGTTGAACGCGGAAAACGCACCCCAGCGCTGCCAATCAAACTTCCAGTTCTTGTCAACCTTCGGATCCTTCTCCAGCCACTGCGCCACCGCGTCACCCAGCCCGCCAAGCACACCACCGGTCACGGCTGTTTTGTTTTTTTTTTTTGATCATCATCATATACACAAATTATACAGGTTCGCTCGACAGCACGGTGTTGTTCATCTGCAGTTCGAGGACCGATTTATGAATGTAATCAATCTGGATCATGTGTGTACAGGACTCAGAACAAACTTTGATGTGATCGTCGTCGACTAACCTTTTTTTTACAGGGAGGACGAGCGTTGAATGTGACACTGTCAATGTCAACATATGAAAGTACGTGCTAGCTGCAGCTAGATAAGACTTGTACCTTTTGTGATTTTTGGGTACTGGTTGTTTGCGTACTGGTATAGGCGCAGGGGCGCCTTTCTCTTGTGGCTCCGGATCAGCTGATTCACCGTTGGGCGTGACACGCTCTCGACGACAGTAGGAAACAGGAACGCCATCCTGTTCCTTGTGCCGATAGTGTGAGGTCAAACAACTACCGGTCGTGGTCCTCGCGGCAATGGAGTATTGTTGATCATCAAAGCGGTCCACATACAATTCTTCAGCGATCACGATCTTGGTGAAAGAGGCAACATCGTATGAATGTAAGTATCTGGCGGAGAGCAGTAAGGAAAAAGTTATCTATGCAGGCCAATCGAAATAAATCATCCACACCTAGAGACCGAAGTACTTCATTTTCCACATCCGGAAGTAAAGAAGGGCGCAAGAAGTAAGGCTACCTACACCTAGTACATACGCAGCACGACCATCTTTCTTGATGACGCCATAGTGTTCATGGGAATGTGGGGTGAAACGCGATATGGTCCTGGGATGGGGAGTGGGTAGTAAGATGAAAAATGAAAATCTGTATGCTTGAAATCGGACAAAGCCTCGACGTGTTTTACTTTTACATGTGACCACTGGCTGTGGAGGAAAAAAGCCTTGGCAAACAAACGGCTCACCGATCTTTCCTGTTTTGCACGATAGAGAAACTCATCCGAGTGTGGAACTACCGCTCGGAACGAATGACATGTTGCGCACGAACCGAAAAATTCAAAACTCGTCAAATACACCGGAGATGCAGCTAGACACGAACAGATACGCAGCAAGGTGCTGCTCATGGTAGGAGTGAAGCTACTGCTAGATGGAGGCACAGACTTCACAAACATTATATATACTTTAGTTACATCTACATCTTGACGAATTCTTACATAATGATCTGGTCAATTGACATATCTTCAAGAACGCTGATTTATTTGAGAAAGTTTCCAAATGAGTACATTAGCATCAATCGCCAGATTGGGTTCTTCACTTTGGATGTAGTTGACGGAGAAGGTATAGTAACTCACATCGCATACAAATTGTATTTCCATCACCCGAAATTACAGCTTTTAATGCTTATCGCGATCAAGTAGACCGATTCTGATTGCAGGGCGGGGAAGGTCGACGGGGTGGTGAACCTAAAAACTACATCATCATCATAGGTAATTACAAAAGTTAAGTGCGCCCGTATCAGCGTCGTAAAGCTGCTCGGGTCGTTCTTTTTGTTCTTCACAATTCAAATCTTTGCCAGTGCTGCCTGTACCCGACGCTTTTCCATCGAGCGGCAGCACCAAGTGGTTCTTCTCGTATGGTCAAAGATTGATGTTTACTTTCACGATTCAGATACTATCCGTGGACAACGGACGCGCGAAATAGAAATTGTAACAAATTGCTTCAGGATTCTGCAAATAAAGGTACCTTTCGGCCGTACGAAATACTATTACTACCCAATTAGCGGGCAATAATAACTTTTCAATCAGTATAGAGAAGACTCATCCGTGTCGACTACAACGGCGTCCAGAGACGCTTTGGGTTCATCTTCAAATCATAAATTGTAAATCTATCATCAGGTCAGAAGTTTTGTACTGAGAATATCGAACTTCTACTCACTCACATTGCGAGCGAAATTTTTATTTTTTCGCAACAACTATCAACAGAAATAGAAGCGTGGCGCGCGCCTGTCGCAAATTCAAATTCTCCATTACTCACGTGCATCGTCTCACGCGACGACGCGATCAGGAGCCAGTTGGTCCTCGTGCACAGGCCACCGCTCTACGCAGCAACTGCGACGGGATCGGAGTCGGCGTGTTTCACCGCGTTGGAAATCGTCCCCTCGTCTGTAGAAGCGACGAAGTCCACCGCGCTCCTCGCATGCCCGGCCGCCGCACGGCCCGACGCGGATGTGCTGGGGGTCGCGGCGTGCGCAGCTGGTGCCGCTGCGGTCGTGTCGTTCACCGCCCGCAAAAGCTTGCGACTGGAGGTCAGCAACGAGGAGGAAGAGGTGGAGTTGCCGCATTTTGACTTCAAGCAGTCGTGCGCCGCCGCGAGGTCCACGCCGTTGTCATTGTACTGCTGGAGCACGTAGGAGACGTCCGTCCCGGCACAGGTCACCGGCGCGTTGTCACACCCAACCTTCGTTTTCATTTTTGCGATGTGGGTTTCATTGCTTTTATCATTTCTAAGTAGTCTCACTGCCCACTTTCCATATATATTAAATGACGGAGCTGCATTTGCAAAATAGACGAAGCAAGTGAAGTGAAGTGACAAATCCAATCCACATCCACAAAAAGAAAATATATAGCGATTCATCTCTGATAATCTCGACGAAGGAACTGAACTTCTAAATGAAAAAATACTTCCCCAATCAGCGTCGCGTAGGCCCACATGCAGATGCACCAGGAGTCCCCCGGGTTCGCGGTATTGCCGCAGATGTCTTCGGCCCAGGACGGCTGCCCAGTGATACTCCAGAAATCCGAGCTCCCCCAGTTCTTGGCGGCGCAGCTGCCTCCCTGATAAACAAAAGAGGATCTCATAAGAGAAAGTCAAAAAGGTAGAAAACGATTACGATAAGGACTAAGGAAGCCCACACTGTTGCAGCATAAGGAACGAAGTAATAATAATAAACGCTGTACAATCATTACCACGAATGAATCTGGCCAAGCCCAAGGTTTTGTGAGAAACCTTTTGCTTTTTCAATTTCATCTTGATCAAGATCAACAAGAACAATTTACAACTCAGAATATTATACTGTTCCCTCCACGAGCTTTGCGCACACTCGATGGGTAGAGTCGTGATTACACTTGTAGTCCCCGTACCTGCCGCCCTCGCCCGGACAGGCCGAAACGTCCCGGGCGGTTCGCTTGCTCTCCATGCCGAAAAACCGCCCCAGTAACGTGCTGGAAGACTCCGCGCGCACGTCCTGGAGAAGGCCCGGAACGAGAACGAGAAAGCTGCACAGGCTCGCTGTATTCCGGCCGGTCATTTTTAATATAATTTCGGGGACGACGATTTTTCAACAGAAGAAGAGTGACTACTTACTTACTTTCCCTCGTAGGTGCTGGTTGGCTGCCAGACGAATGTAGCATATTACTTGGGTACTCGTCCTCCCTCGAAACTGTGCACCTCGGTGTGGTATCGAACGTACCTGAAACGAACGGTAACCCGTACCCGACACACACTCAAGAAACACTTCGATAGCTGCTGCGGAGGCCTGCATCGGCCCACGTTTTGTGACTGACCCTTCTCTGCCCCGCTCGTAACAGTCTACTCCGCGCTCTCAACCAATCTCTCTGTGCGAGGGCTCTCCCGGCGTGAATGATGCCGTGCGGGGTCGAGAAGCAGAAGCACTACGCACTTAGTGAACGACAAGACAACAAGACTCTAACTTGAGGAGCTGCTTCACGAAAATCCTGAAACATTCTTCCTTGTTGTTGTTCTACACGACTACTTGCATATCGCTTCCAGCACAACACGAAAAGAACAGATCGGTGGGCAGGTAAATATGCCGTTACACAACACGAGTTGTTTCCTTCGCGATAAGGAGGTGGCAGCAAGCCCGGAAAAAGTAAACACACAGGGTGGTCGTGAGATGACTATTACTGTGAGAAGTGTGAGTGGGAAACTGCTTTTACAAGAATAGCGTTAGACATGGAAAAAATGAGTTCGACATGATGAGTACAATGATGTTGTCGAGTCACGCCCGCTGCTACGTAAGTAGCTGCGCAAGCCCTTCGTACTGAATACGCACAGAAGTGTTGGCAGGTAGATGCACCACATCGGAAATAAGCGTCCCTTCAAAATAGGCCTGGAGCATCTATGTCGCCATGCTCTTTCTTCTGCGCCTCCTTCACCGCGGCCTCCGTTTCGTCGTAGTGCGGCTTCAGGGGATGCTCGTCGACGTCGTACTTGGGGTCGAGCTGGGTCTTTTTGATCCATCCAGAAGATGTGGGCAGCTTGATTTTCTTGTCGCCGCCTTCATGGACTTCGGGCGGGGGTGCGAACGGCCAAACGCGCACTCCGTGCGTCGGCGGAACAAGTCCAGCAAACAAATAACCCAACGCAACAACGCAAAACACCGGAACGCGCGGCATCTTTTCGTTTTCTTCACCGACTGGGACTACTTGTATACTGCTTTCAGTTGCCAACTATCTACCTGGAAAAGCGGGCCAAACGCAAATGGACCGTGAAGCTGAAGCGCCGCCCCCTTGCAAGCAACGAGAGCACCGCAACTGTTGCCTGGGCTTCGCCAACAAGTTGTGCTGCTGCAGGCAAGGCTGGGAGAGTGTTCACAGACCGACTTTTCTGGAGTGTCGCAGGGGCTCCTTTGCCTTTCCAGCGTTTTCTAGAATAAGAATTGGGCTGGCACGATGAACAGCTACTCGCTCCCTCCCGCTCATCATAAGAAGGTAGGCACGTAGCGAAGCCGAGTGAGCTAGCGTTACGCAGAACACATCTACACAAAAGAAAGGAACGGGCGCCCACACTCATCCGGGGAATGCGCCGCCCCCGGCATAGGCAACTTGGGCGCCGGGGCCTTCCGAATCGAGGGCACGGCGCGGCTTGGTCCGGCCTTGGTGCGATGGATCAGAACTCGGGGGCGGCACGAATCCGGAGGGAGAGGCCCGCCGGGCGGCTGCGTCCGTCGGTCGGGTCGGTCGGAGGTCGGCGCACGCCACGCGCCCACATACCGCGCGCCAACTGGGTCGGCTGCCGGCTCCAAACTCTGGGCCGCCGGGAAGCTTTTTGGGCCGCCTTTTTTCGCCGCATACCGCGCGACAAGCGGGCCATCTGCCGGCCCCAAACTCTGGGCCGCCGGGGGGCTTTTTGGGCCGCCTTTTTTCGCCGCATACCGTGCGCCAAGTGGGTCATCTGCCGGCCCCAAACTCTGGGCCGCCGGGGGGCTTTTTGGGCCGCCTTTTTTCGCCGCAT